CCCGCGATTTAATTTTAGGTTTTCACTTGTGCTATTCAAATAGTGCCATTGTCTTAGAATAGTATGTTTTAGGTAGAGTTATGTGGTGCTTATTGTAAGTTAGCTGATGAGGTTTGATGTTATCATATGGCAACCACAAGGTGCCAATCTGGCAAAATTGCCCTGATCTTAATATGCGCATCCTTTTCAAACATAGTATATGGTTAGTCCTTGAAATGGTAAGAATTCCAGAGCATGTATAAGAGTTAACAGTATTTTGAATGATTCCCAGCAACAACTATGAAAAATCTCTGAATGCAGTGTATGAGAGTGGATTTAATTAAATAAACATCTGGTTTTCTGCATTGCCTAAAAATAAAGAGGCAAACTTGTTGGAGATTTCCTTCCAGAAGGAAATGCTTAGCACATTGCTTGGCCCCAACTAGAAGGAAAGGGAAAAAATTAAAGACTATTTTTAGAATCTGATCAAAGCATGACTTGAATTCCTATACATAAGTGTCATAAAATGAAGCTTGTGTTTGTTATGATAAAAATACAGATTCATGGAAAAAGGGAACATCTGTTTCAAGAAAGAAAATTTTGAGTATAATGACTTTCTCACTTAATTTCCTAAGTGGTTAAATTTATTGGCCTGAATTCAGAACTTGTGTAGGTGGCTGTCTCAGCTGGAGAATGGCTCAGCAGCTGAAGGAGTCTGTCAGTAAAATTTGTGTGGATGTTACAGTGAGAGAAGAAAAAATAAAATTGTTGCATTTGTTTTAAGCTGGAAACCAAACAACCCAGTCTGAGTCACAGGCTAACTTAGTGACAATAGTATGGGGTATTCTGTTCCTTTCCATTCCACCGTATCATCATGTAGTATTTTAATAGAGATTTCTGTTTTAAACTCCAGATTTTTTAGCCCTTTCCCCTTATTTATTTCTGTTTCCTATGCCCATGTGCAAGTACTGAAGAGTAAGTTAATATCTGCTGTTTCTGACCTTTATCACTGCTAGGGTGATGACCACTGAATCAGTATGGTCAGACCTCTGTGCTTGACTGATATTTGCCCAGAATACGTGGATAAGTAGCTTTTGTAACAAATTAAACCAACAAATGATGCTTTTGATCTCAAGGTAGCAAAGGACATTTTTAAATGACTTAAGGATGGGGGTATGTATGTGTAAAGTTTTGTATTTCTTGCATATAGTCTGTCTCCTTCCAGTGCATTTTAAGTCTATGTATTTTGTGATATGGCCATGGTAGCCCACATTTTGGAGCTCTTGCTTGAGCTATGGCCTGAGTGGACTGATAGGTGACTGACTGGCAGCCTGGGGTTGTTAGGAGTCAGTTTTATCTAAATAGCCTGCAAGCTCTGAGATCTTACAGGCTTTTAATTTCCACATCAGCTATCCTGGAAAACCACACAGTCGTCAGCTCCACTGTGACCCCCAGGAGAGAACTTCTCTACAGTTAGATGTTTAGAGTCTTCAGTGGCTCAGTAGGAAAGTCGGGGGGAAAAACTAGTCTAGATTCACAGTAGAAGTGTGCTCTGAAAAGCAAAAACTTGCTTTGCATTTTTTCCCAGTTGAATCCTTATGTTTTGTTGGAAGATGATTAGAACAGGTTTGTTTCTGTAGCATATGGCACCCGCGATTTAATTTTAGGTTTTCACTTGTGCTATTCAAATAGTGCCATTGTCTTAGAATAGTATGTTTTAGGTAGAGTTATGTGGTGCTTATTGTAAGTTAGCTGATGAGGTTTGATGTTATCATATGGCAACCACAAGGTGCCAATCTGGCAAAATTGCCCTGATCTTAATATGCGCATCCTTTTCAAACATAGTATATGGTTAGTCCTTGAAATGGTAAGAATTCCAGAGCATGTATAAGAGTTAACAGTATTTTGAATGATTCCCAGCAACAACTATGAAAAATCTCTGAATGCAGTGTATGAGAGTGGATTTAATTAAATAAACATCTGGTTTTCTGCATTGCCTAAAAATAAAGAGGCAAACTTGTTGGAGATTTCCTTCCAGAAGGAAATGCTTAGCACATTGCTTGGCCCCAACTAGAAGGAAAGGGAAAAAATTAAAGACTATTTTTAGAATCTGATCAAAGCATGACTTGAATTCCTATACATAAGTGTCATAAAATGAAGCTTGTGTTTGTTATGATAAAAATACAGATTCATGGAAAAAGGGAACATCTGTTTCAAGAAAGAAAATTTTGAGTATAATGACTTTCTCACTTAATTTCCTAAGTGGTTAAATTTATTGGCCTGAATTCAGAACTTGTGTAGGTGGCTGTCTCAGCTGGAGAATGGCTCAGCAGCTGAAGGAGTCTGTCAGTAAAATTTGTGTGGATGTTACAGTGAGAGAAGAAAAAATAAAATTGTTGCATTTGTTTTAAGCTGGAAACCAAACAACCCAGTCTGAGTCACAGGCTAACTTAGTGACAATAGTATGGGGTATTCTGTTCCTTTCCATTCCACCGTATCATCATGTAGTATTTTAATAGAGATTTCTGTTTTAAACTCCAGATTTTTTAGCCCTTTCCCCTTATTTATTTCTGTTTCCTATGCCCATGTGCAAGTACTGAAGAGTAAGTTAATATCTGCTGTTTCTGACCTTTATCACTGCTAGGGTGATGACCACTGAATCAGTATGGTCAGACCTCTGTGCTTGACTGATATTTGCCCAGAATACGTGGATAAGTAGCTTTTGTAACAAATTAAACCAACAAATGATGCTTTTGATCTCAAGGTAGCAAAGGACATTTTTAAATGACTTAAGGATGGGGGTATGTATGTGTAAAGTTTTGTATTTCTTGCATATAGTCTGTCTCCTTCCAGTGCATTTTAAGTCTATGTATTTTGTGATATGGCCATGGTAGCCCACATTTTGGAGCTCTTGCTTGAGCTATGGCCTGAGTGGACTGATAGGTGACTGACTGGCAGCCTGGGGTTGTTAGGAGTCAGTTTTATCTAAATAGCCTGCAAGCTCTGAGATCTTACAGGCTTTTAATTTCCACATCAGCTATCCTGGAAAACCACACAGTCGTCAGCTCCACTGTGACCCCCAGGAGAGAACTTCTCTACAGTTAGATGTTTAGAGTCTTCAGTGGCTCAGTAGGAAAGTCGGGGGGAAAAACTAGTCTAGATTCACAGTAGAAGTGTGCTCTGAAAAGCAAAAACTTGCTTTGCATTTTTTCCCAGTTGAATCCTTATGTTTTGTTGGAAGATGATTAGAACAGGTTTGTTTCTGTAGCATATGGCATTTTCAAATTGACATACTACAAAAATGCTGGTTTCACTGAAAATACCCCATCAGGTCTAATTGCAGGTGTTTTAAATGTATAGAAACATGAATTGTAGCATAGCAGTTAGTGATTTTACATTTAGGTTGGGCAACTATATGATCGTCCTTGCAAGCACTGAGTATAAATGTACGTATTCATGAAAACTTTAAAATAGCAAATTACTTTTCATATTCAAATTACTCATATTTGAGACTTCCCTGGTAGTTTCAGTTCAAACACTGAATGAAAGCATGTTTGTGTTAGAAGGTTTTGGTAATATTTGTTGCAAAAGTATTGCTTGTAGGTAGTATAGTTCAGTTTTAGCTGTGCAGTAGATAGTCTCTCTACCACTTCTTAGACAGGGGTGACCTCTCTTGTATTTCTGCAGCCTTGAACATTCCCCCATGAGAGGGATAGCTCAGAGCTGGATAAATGAATTATCTTACTGGGCTGGCTATCAACTGTAGCTTGGTGTTCCTGCTGCAAACCCATGTGGAAGTTCAAGGTGTAGATACATCCTTCATGGAAATGTTCTTACAGTTGTCAGTCCTCCTTTGAACTACATGGTGATATGGCAGTGCTTGTGTACTCTCTGCTTTATCCTTCTTCAGGCATGTTTTTCATCCCTAAGGGATGTGGTGGAGAGGACTGCTCACCCCAGGTGTAAAGACAGCAGTACTTTCACATTATATGCCCCTCCTCCTTTGTCCCTATCAGCTCCATGCCCGCACAAAGTCTAGGAACAGGCTGATCCTAACAGTGTTACATAGGCAAGGGGGTGGCAGGGGATTTTTCTGCACTGGCAGTGTTATGTAGGACAGCCAGATGTGACTTCTGATCCTGTTATCTTATTCCCTTGGACTTCAGCAAATAAAACCAGCAATAACAAAATTGACTGACCTGCGGCCATACCAGCATGGGTTGTGATCTTGTCAAAAGGTATTCAATAAGTGAAGTTAACACTGTTCAGTATTTGGACAGGAGGTCTCCAAGGGAGGAAAAAAATCTCTAGAATGTTTTTTTCCATCATCTAGCAGTTTATGTTAGAAAAGGAGGAAAACAAAGAGGAAAACAATAGCAAAGGGTACTAATGTGATACAGATAATACCCACTGTCATATTCCAGCGTTGAACTTGAATCATGAATGAGGCAAATCCTGGTAATTCAGGTAGCCTGAATTATATACATTTAAAATATGTATAAAATACAGTATTTTCTGACACGATGCTGGCACAGTAGCAGATCTTTCTAAGACTGTTGGGAAAAGGTTGTATTTTTCTACAGTGAAAATGAATTTTTTCAGTAAAAAGAGACAAAAAGTTTTCATAAAACCCTTTCTATGAAAAAATACACCCTTTTGTAGAAAGCTGAAACTGCTGAAACAGTTTCGAAGCCTTAAGCTGAAATTTTTTTGTCTCCCCTACAAAAAATTACAATTTTTCAGCAAAGCTGAATTTTTCTGTAAAAACAAATGAAAAACCTTTAAAAAATATCCAACCTTTTAAAATGCAAATTATTAGCAAGTACTATTCCAGCAAATTTTAAAAGTGGCATAAGGTACTGGTTTCTCTTTTTAATACGCAAAAGCAATGAAATGCAATGGGAAGAAATGACCTGCTTTTCTGAAGTTGGCACCAGCAAACATTAAGCACAGCCCTAATTTATGCTTAATTTATATTACTGAGTGTCCTTTTAAGGTGTTTCAGTGTTTGGTTTCAAACAAAACTGTAAAATTAGTATGGCAGCTTCTGGTGCTTCTTCTACCTTGGGAAGGGAAGTACAGTGTAGTGGCTATAGATGACACTCATTTTTTGGCCCATTTGATCCCGAACGGAAACAAGGGTGGTTAGTTAATACCGGTACTGAAGCTGCTTTATTTAGAGACCTGAATTGTGTTCCAGTGGTTGTGCAATCTCTCTTATCATCTCTGTAAACAGACTGTGCTCTCCTTAGAACAGCGTCTGAACTATTGCTCAATATTCAGTGCTGTGACGTACAAAGGCTGAACAGTAAGATGAAGAGCTGAGAGCAGAACCCATGATTGCTTCTTGGCTCTTAATTGAATGCATTTTTCTTTGGGCTACTGTGGTTAGATCAAGAAGAGGAAGTAACTACAGCTATTGCAGGCATAAGTCATTCAGAACATGTGTAGATGAAAGGAAAGTCCTAGCTTTTGCAGGTTTTCCAAGCTGATTGCTGAGTGCCTCAAGTTAGGAAACTCCTTGAGCCATGGGTGTAATATGCTCAGTGCAGCCAGCATGCATAATTATCTATAGGATCACATGGCTGGATGCATATAGTACATGGCAGGAGCTCTGTCCCACAGGAGCCTGGATTTTCAGAAGTACACCTCTGAATTCAAGGCAGGCTTCCTTGAGAGGTAAATTTCTCTTTACGAGGCATAGAAATACCATGACTTTTTCATAGAAGTATTTTGGGGAGAATTTTATCCTTTGTTAAAGGTACTTCTTTTTCATTAACCTTTATGGAAATGCCTGCCTTCTTTTGACATGGAAGAACAATCTGCCTTGAAGCAAAAATGAAGCATGGGAAGTCTCATCCCAAACAGTTTAAGCCTAGCAAAATTCTGATGACTTCAGAGTACGTTAAGAGGAAGTATACTAGACAGTCTTGTTGTATGTGCCACTAGTAGCTTTGTCTGAATTTTAAATTTTGCTGTTTTTTCATTTTGATTTTGTGTTTAGCTTAATTTAGTGTGGAAGCATATACCCATAACGATGTTCAAGTTCCAGGTTGCTTTGGCTTCCAAGTTCATCTTGGCATGGATTATGTCTTGTAAAGCCCCATTTTGAGACATTTCTGACTAAGTAGTAAAGTTACTGAGGATAAGAATTATTGTATAAAGTTGCCCTGATTTTTCAGGTGAGGTCTCATGTACAGATGTAATATAATTTGGAAACTTTAGTGATATAAACTTTATCCATTCAAAAAAAGCCACAAACCCTCCCCCCCAGTTAATGGCAATTCTAAATTAATACAAAGCTGGTGTTAACATCATTAAGTAAACAGTAGAAGATATTTAATTACAATGCAATAAATTACCATAAGTCTTATTCTTGGTGTTTTCAGATAATCATTATGGTCGTGAGTTTGTATATGAAACTTTTCCTTAATTGGCGCAGAATCTGTCAGTTCTCACAGAATAAAAACTAATCTCTTTCCAATTGATTTTAGGGGTCCAACATCACAGACACTTTTTGAGGATATTTTTTCTCTTTTATAACCTTTTGGTCTACTGCAAAAAAAAGCACAGGTAAATTTTAATTTGTACTTTGAAAAATAATTTCTATTTTTCTCACAGTAGAGTTAATCCTCTGTATCCTGTTTCATAAGAAAATTTGAACACCACTGAATTTTTTACTGCAGATAATTGCAATATGAAAGTCAGCATTTTTAGAGGAATAGGTTTTTTCACACTCCAAAGAGAAGCGTATTTAATTCAAACATTGGAAAAATTTTGTAGGAATGCAGAATCCAAATGATGAAGTGCAGGGAGAAGGAATCTTTTGTCAGTCTTCCACAATAGGTTATACGCGATGGCCTCACTCTCTTCTAGGAAGGGTAACAGACTGCATTTTTAGTTCAAAAAGTCAGTATTGTAGCTTCTGTTATAAAATTAGTCTCCACAGATTCAAGTGTTTCGAGCTTTGTATTTCTAATGAGGGAGAACAGCCAGAAAGCTGCTGCATGCTGCATTGCAAGGAGCAATTCCTCAGTTCAGCAACAAGCTTTGGCAGCTAAAGTTTGCCCAGTGCTCTTATGCTTCGGAAAAATAAGCGTTCTCCTATGTACAGGCATCCCTTTTGAAACTGCTTGAGTTTGTTTCTTTGATCCAAAACCTGTTCTTCAGTAGCCACTTAATACATATTACTGGATAGAGCCTTGATAGATTCCTAGATACACAATAGACCTTGAGTACGCTCTCTAACAGCACTGTGAATGCCATTATCTTTGCCTCTACCCCTGCACACTTCTGGATGGTTTCAGGGAAGTTCACCATCAGCTTCAGTGTAGAGTCAAGGAAACTGTCTGAAGCTGCTGAAAGTATAGCTTCATAAATCCAGGTTCTTCTGTCATCACTGCAGCCGTGTCCATCAGATCAGTGCGTGCGCTGTAAGATTTTCAAGGGTAGTTCCAGGTTTGATAGCCAACTTTCATCCTGTTTTTTCCATCTGTCTTTTACAAGTGCCCTGGATTGTCCGTAGCATCCAAATGAAAGATGTCTTTCCCTGCACCTGTAATATCCCTTTGTTCCGATCAGTGTTCTGGCTTGGCAGTGGTTGTGTCTGTTAATGGGTGGATCCTGGCCCAGCTGCTTTTGAAGGCTGTGCATGAGAGGATGGTCAAGTGCAATGCTAACAGCAAAATGTACGCTTGGTGCATTCAGGTGAAGGTTATTGGCCCTGCAGTTCAGTGTGTGGGAGCACCCAGCACCATCAACTTGAGGATGAAAAGAGCGATCAGGCAGCTTGATGCCATAATGATTTCCTCCTCTCCTGTTGTTTTAGCTGGAAGGAATGGGTGCTTATCATTTTCTTCTTGCTACCTGTTCTTGGTGGATGAAAGGGAAGGGGATATGAGGGTTGGATAATAGAGACCAGAACTCCTATGTATGTGTGCCACAATATCCATGTGTGGTGTAGTCTAGTTAATAACCTCAGATGTATATATACAACTACAGCCAGCGAAGCAAGTGGACATTTATGTATAAAACGCATGCATCTGAAACCAGTTTTTAGTAGATGCTTTAAAACTTTATTAGCAACCCCTTATTGTCTGTTACTGCAATATCTTATGTAATGTCTGTATGTAATTTCTAATATGGTATTTTTCACATGAGTTTTTGCACAGGACTCATAATTCCAAAGTATTATTTTAAATATTTTTTTAAAAAATTTAAATATTTAAAAAAATATTTTTCCAAATCAGTTCATACTCATATGCATGGTGTCATACATAAGAGCAGGTGGCTAGGGGATGGATATCTCTTTTCTCTCCTCCTGTGCTAATTATAGACTTGTGGTTAGATACACTGTAGCACCTGCAGAGCTTCTTGCTGAACCAATACATGGGGAAGATCAGACTCATCAGTATGTGGTATGAGAAGTAGAAGTGGTAGTAGTGGAAAGTAGCCATGGACCCTATTAATTATAATAATCTCTTTAAATTGTAAAGCTCCTGAGCTTGTTCTGCAGGGATCTTTTTCAGACTGGATTGGAAATGCTTTTTTTTCCAGTGGGCTACTGCAGAAGAAACTGCTGGCTAACACTGAGGAAGGCTTAAAAATCTTCCCCAGGGAATATTGTTTCCTCCTATTAGATTACTCTGTTAACAGGGAAGCATTTACATGTGAGAAGATAGGTAATTTATACTTCACTAGCTACAGTGAATCAGTCCTTTGCTTTTAAGTTTTCAGCTCTTGCTTAGGTTACAGAACTTTTCTAACAGTCGAGTATGAACAGTTTAAGAAGTTTGTGATTATATCTAGTGTTGAATACTGAAATTATTTCAAGGATATAATTCTGTGACTGCTCAGTTTCATTTTTATGTAGATTGGTTCAATATAAACTCATGCTCTTTTCAAAATTTCTGATTTTTGCTATATTTTGTTGTCTAGCAATTACAATTAAGTTATTGATTACATAGTATCTCTTTACTTGTCCACTACTACATTACGAATTTTTGTAGCCATATTCTAGCTAAAATGCATGATCAGATGAAAATCTCAAAACACATGAAAGGTCAATGATTTCTTTAGTTTTGAGCAATCATGTCCTACATGTCATTGCCTGGTACCTTGCTGACACCTCCGCAGACATGAGAATAACTCAATTTAACTCATAGTTCCAGGGTTTATGGTGGAAAATGAATTGATTATATGCCAGCAAGATACTTCGGGTATTGATTTGCAAGTAGATAAAGAAAGCATTGGTCACAGCAGGTTTGTATTTTGGAAATTTTACAAAAATTTTCCTGTTTCTGTGGTATGAGATATTTTATGCATCCTTGTGCTGCAGAGCTGTATAAATGTGGATTGCTAAATTTGGGTTCATAGGTACAAAGGTCACTGGAGTTACTCGATTTATCTCACTTCGGAGAGGAAAAATATGTGATACTGAACCTTTGTGTTTGCTGCTTTTTTTTTTTTTTAAATATATTATTTGTTTTTTGAATAAGAAATTTATAGTAGAGTAACTCATTAGACAGTAATGATTGAGAGGCAGGTCATTTTCTTAAGATTGGTACCTCTCTGGAGTGCGTGAAGGTCAGAATTCAGAGGATCATTAATTCTCAGGAACTGACCTTTGATTGATATACAGTATTAATTATCATTATAGGCCAAAATGGACAGAGAATCATCCCTAGCTTATCTGAGGTGGGAAAAGCTGCCTAGAACTGGGATTCTCAAAAAGCCTTGATTTCACTGGTAACAGACTTACAGCATGCAAAGTGCATTGGAATATGTCGCTGTGAAACTTTCTCAAAATTTCAGCAATTCTTAATTATAATTCTTGGTTAACCCTTACTTGAGGAAGAAAAAAATGTGTTCATAGTTCTTCCATGCATTAATCCCACTTACGAGGCTAACGTGTGTACGTCAAGATTTATATCCAAAAGTGTTCTTATTTCCTTTTTTTCAATCATGCTACCCTTGTGTTGAATTTCTTGACTAGCATTAAGGAAGCTTAAACCATTTAGCAGGAACGATCCGCCTGATGCAGTAATTTGTCTTTGATGGCAGGCAGTAGCATATAAGTAGCAAGTGTTGGAACAGGGCATTAACAGAATGAGATTTCCTGATAAAACTCTCCTATCAGCCAGCAATTTGCAGCTTATTCTTACCATAGGTAGCTTCTTTGCTTTAGCATCAACAGTGTCCCATTCAGCAATGGTTTCCACAGTTCGACTGCACATGTATAAAAGGGTTGTGATTCTTACAGTAGTCCTTAAACACTACATGTACAGGTGCCATTGCAGAAACATAGCAAAAGGTGGTGGATGACATGCTCTCTGTTCTTTCTTTTATCAGGCGGTTGAAGAACAGCAAAGCTTCTACAGATGGCCATCGTTACCTTTTTCGGGGCAGAATAAACACAGAAGTGATGGAAGTAGAGAATGTAGATGATGGAACAGGTGAGTATATTTGTGTTGCTCATTTACAGAGCAGTTTTTCAAAGTGCTGGAATCAAATGCAGTTTCATGATTTCTTTGAGAATGGAGAGTGCTCCTTGTACTTAGAAAGAAAGAGTAAGATGCCACTTTAAAAGGACTATCTGCTCATATCGACACTCAGCTTCTGTGACACATCATTGCTTTCATACATTATTAGCTGGGCGGTCACAGATGACTGTTTTATGCTAACATGAACAGAGTAATAAAATAAGGTGACATTTATTGCTCAACTGAAATCCAAACTTAACTTCACTTTACAGCATTCCAGCACTCCTAAATAGGTTATCCCTAGGTGTGTGTTATATTTGTAAAAGCAAATGGAAAAGTTACCTCTGTTGGAATGAAACCTCAAACACTATAAATGCTGAAATTGTAACATAAGTGTTTTAAGAAAAAAGGAAACTTTTTTTTCTTAATATATCTAGGGATATAATTCATATGATTGCTTAAAATTTTCCTGACACACATTAGAAAAGTGAAAAGCCAAAGTATTTCTACAAATGTCATTTTTCTTTTAGAAACTTACAGAATCGTTTAGGTTGGAAAAGACCTTTAAGATCATCAAGCCCAACTGTTAACCTAACACTGCCATCCCACCACTAAACCATGTCCCCAAGCACCTCGTCTACCCGTCTTTTAAATATCTCCAGGGATGGGGACTCGACCACTTCCCTGGGCAGCCCGTTCCAATGCTTGACAATCCTTTCATTGAAAAAATTTTTCCTAATGTCTAACCTAAACCTGCCCTGGCACAACTTCAGACCATTTCCCCTCGCCCTATTGCCTGGGAGAAGAGACCAACGCCCACCTCAGTACAGCCTCCTGTCAGAGAATTGTAGAGGGCAATAAGGTCTCCCCTCAGCCTCCTCTTCTCCACACTAAACAACCCCAGCTCCCTCAGCCGCTCCTCGTAAGCCTTGTGCTCCAGACCCCTCACCAGCTTTGTTGCTCTCCTCTGGACATGTTCCAGAAACGCAACATCTTTCTTGTAGTGAGGGGCCCCAAACTTGAGTTTAACCTTTGAGGTTAACAATTATTGTTTCCTTAGAACTAATAAAGAAAACCTGAAACATTTTGGGCTTTTTAATGTAAAACTGGAAAAAAAAAAAAAAAAAAAAAAGGGAAATTTTTGCAATGTCATTGCAAGTATGTAGGTCTGGAGGAAATTTCTGCGTGATATATTACTTCTTCTGATTTTAAAATAGCATTAGGTCTGCCCTACATCTACTATGGATTCCAAGCATTTCTTAATGCAACTTCTTTCTGAAACTGAGCATTAATGACAAGGATTGTACAGCTTAAGTAAGCTTCATAGAAGTCCTTTGCAGAAGTTAAGTATCTCTTAAAAATTAAGTTGCTTTTTTCTTCTAATCACGAGTTCCTTGTATTCAAAATAGTTCACTCACTTCTTGTTCTACTGGATAGACTTGGAGAACAGTTTGACTATTGTTCTTATTGCAACAAAATAGTTTATGGGAAGGCTGTTGTGTCTCTCCTTCATCTCTTCTTTTTAAGTCTTTCAACTTCTTGTTGTGGGACATGTTTTCCAAGTTTTTATTACTTTTTGTGTCCTTTCGAGTTTCAGGGTTTTTCTCAGTTTGTTTGCATCTTTTGTATTATGAGGTGTCCAGAGCTGAAACTTCACTGGCACCAAGTAGAATAGAGTAATTACTGTAGTGTTGCATGTGTGTGGGATGTCTATTACCAATCCCAGGATTGTTTGGCTTTTCTGAGAGCATTATTTTTCAGTTTTTTAGGTTGAGTCCCAGAATACCACACCAGATCCTTTTGTGCAGTACTGGTGCCTATCCCATTATATCTTACACTGTTTTAATGTCTGAGAGTAGGTCCGAATAGTTACTTTCTTTTCTGCACTGAATTTTATCTTATTATTTCCACAATTTATTAAGCATGCAGAATTCATGTCTTACTCCCCAAAGCTCTTGCCATGCTTCTTGCCTTGGTGCCATGAACAAACGATGTTATTGCTGAACCATTTAAGCTCTTGATAAAACTATTGGAAAATGCTGAACATAAGGTAGGGCAGTGTGGCATCATGCTTGATTCATTCTCTTTGTTTACTAGACATTTTTTGTAAGAACTCCTTGACATCTCTTTCGGGCTATGTCCTTCACCAGGCCCACTGATTTAGTTAGTGGTTCAGATATATTTATGGGTTACACTATGGTGAATTTCATCAAACTTTGTTGACTTGGATATAATTTATCCTATATTCTATATCCTGCTATTTCCCTTTTCCGGCCTGAATTCCTGCTCAGTTGTTAGCTTTATTAGTATAAAATCTCAGCGCTGTGTTTATGCAAAAAAGACAGGTGAGAGTTTGAGTCTTCTGTGTCACGTATTATTTAATGTTCATTTCGTTTCCTTCATCTTCCTTATGTATGCCTTAGAAATAAAGACAGTTTTCCTGTTTCCATTATGTCACTTTCTAAGATGGCATCTCTTTATTTATGTCTCTTGGCATTACTGTGGTCACAGAGGCTTATACCCACCCTCTTCTTCCTGATGAATATTCCAAGAATTCTGTAAATTTTTTCTTTCACTGGTTCTGATCCCACATATTGCCACGCTTTTAGTGTTGGCTTTAGCAAATATTTCTTCCTCCTTCCATGACTCAAATCTGTCCTACCTTTCTTCATTTGCTTGTTCCAGCTATCCAGTCTTTGATCGCTTTCACAGTGTCCCATTTTCCTTCCTGCCTGTTTGTGTTCTTCCTCAGTGAATCCTGAAGTATAATTTGGCCAAGACAAATAATCTTCCTCTCTACTCCAGACACCAGTAGTCTAATTTCCTCCAGCCACAGGAAATTTTGCTGCTGTCCCCATTTCCTATAGCCTTGTACACAGTACTGGAGGCTATCATGCTTCCTTCCCACTTGCTCTCCTGAGCCATATAAAATCTTGTCACTTTTATGTATGCAACATTTCTAAAATCTGTCCTCCTTTCCACACTTCTGAGACATCAGTTAATGGTTTGGTTATTTTGATTTCTAGATTACTCTTATCTCCGTTTTTTTTTTTTCCATATCCCCACATTTCCTGCCTTCTCCATTTAAGTTTGTGCAATATCCTAGAATATTTTTTCTTGTAATTACTGCTATTTCATCCCTCCTTTCTATGGTTCTCTTTGAAATACAGAAAGTCCGTATTATTTCCCTGGCCTGTGGCATCTTTCTGCCCTTTTCTTGCCATCCTCTACCCCCCTTTTAAAAAAAAAAAAAAAACCAAAACCCCAAACTGTTTTCTCTCCTTACAGTCAGAAGTGTATTACTTCTCCTCACACTGGTACTTTTTCTTTCACTCAGATCACGATGCCCTTCTTTAACCTTACTCTGTCTTGGTTTCTGTACTGTTCTCATTTGTTGCACCCAGATGGCTTGTTTCTCATCCCCTGTAGTCATCTGTGTCTGAACTGTAACCCAGTACTATTCTCCTGAGTTCTTTTTGTTTCATCTCTTTCCCAAGTGATTCCCAGTAATCTGGTCGTTTGCGCCTCATTCGCATTAGTTTTGCAGGTGCTTTTTTTGGTATTGTATTATTTTATTCTTCTTAATCATCTATTACTGATCACTTTTTGTAATTCTTAGAGTGCAAGCTCTGAGTGCAGAGTGCTTAGATTTTCATATTTACACATGACTTTCTCCTACACTCTTCATAGGTGTCTTTATAGACTTTAAAGACTTGAGTCTAGATGATATTTCTACAGTTCTTTAATGCAGATTTTGGGATCATCTGCTCACTTGGTATAAGGAACCAGAGGACTCCAGGGAACAGGGTAACTGAGAGCTTTTGCTCTCAGTGTCAATAGATGTAGGAATGTAGTCTTCGTTGTTTGTAAGTAGAAGCATAGAAATAGGAAAACAGCTTCCCAGTGTGGGTTATTGTCATGCTAATGACATGCTAACAGATATTAACAAAGCTTTTTCTGAAAAGCAATTTTTCTTTCATGAAATTAGGCCTTGGCTGAGCAGTACGGTTGGTATAAGCTTTCTTTTTTGTTTCTGCATCATGAAGCACTCTGCCTTTTTTTGATTGCAGTGATTAAAGTGGAATGCATATTATTTATCAGGGCAGACTATTTGTGTTCCTAAAACAATGTGGCTACACAGCCAGTTGCAAGTATTAGAAGGGTGGGTATATTGTGATGGTATTGGTTGTTCTGTATTCATTTTTTAAAATTAAATTTTGAGAGAGAAGCATATTTCCAAAGGCATTCACCAGCCTTTAAATGAATATTATTTAGTTTATGAAGACAACCACTTGAGACTTAGGAAATACTAGATTTATGGTTGCTTATACTATCTTACTTGTGTCCCCTGTTGTCTTGAAATGAGGCATGAAATAGAAAAAAATACTACATGCTAATAGTAACCAGTGACTGCATGAAAAAGTATACAGAGAAGGAAGGGAATTGATACTATGCAGCAATTATTTCCTTGGTATTTGTGAGCATCAGTGCTACTAAGAACCTAAAGTCTGAGAAACTTAGAAGAACTTCAATACAGATATTTCTGTTTGGTTTTTTAAGGGAAGAAACAAATTCTATTGTATGTGGCTGTAACATATTGCTTGTTATGTATCTCTCAAAGGTTTTGAGTCTTGAATTTTGAACAATATATTACTGCTCAAATTACAAGCTTTAATGTATTACCAAGTATCATTAGAAGATGATGTCATCTTTCATCACCTTTTCTTGGGAAGTTGGAGGCTTAATGATTTGTTGAGCATCCTTACTCAGACTTTGCATGAAGCAACTTTAAGTCTCATGCTCTTAGAATCACAGAATCATTTGGTTGGAAAAGACCTTTAAGATCATTGAGTCCAACCGTACCTGTCCATCACTAAACCATGTCTCTAAGCACCTCATCTACCTGTGTTTTAAATACCTCCAGGGATGGGGACTCAACCACTTCTCTGGGTAGCCCCTTCCAGTGCCTGATAATGCCTTCAGTGAAGAAATTTTTCCTAATGTCCAGTCTAAACCTCCCCTGGCACAATTTGAGGCTGTTTCCTCTCATCCTATTGCCCATTACCAGGGAGAAGAGACCAACACCCACTTTGCTACAACCTCCTTTCAGGTAGTTGTAGAGGGCGATAAGGTCTCCCCTCAGTCTCCTTTTCTCTTCTTCCTTCTGTAACCATTATGTCAGGTTTGCAAATCGTTTGTTTAGACTCACCGGCAGCTGTGATTGCCTTGATGTGAAGGGTGTGCATATATCCTGTGCAGCTGGCCAGTCAGAACATGCATACCTCCTGGTTGTCTGGCTAGCACGTCTGCAGCTCTTGGCCAGATTTTGTCTGATAGCCAGTCCAAAAAAGGTATGAGTTTATACGGGATGATAGCAGAATGCTGAAACATTCTTCAGGAGACTGTGGACATGGATGTATTGAGGAGAACAAATTGCTCACGAGAGCCTTGGAGGATTGTAGTGATGGGGAACACGGGGATCAAAAGAGAAAGCAGGGGTGTTGCAGTTAAAGGCAGAGGTTGGGGTCAAGCTGGGCATCACAGGAATGGGTTACCGTCACAAAACTGGGTGATAGCTATCCACTTTCCTCCAGCTGAACTCATTGCCATCTGTATGCCTTAGGCAATCTTAGTACCTACCTAGGTGGTTGGGCTTTTCGCAAAATTCAGTGAGTTTGTAGTGGCATGAGATAAATGCGGTGCCAGTATGCTTGGCCCTGCAGTTACAGACCTTGAGATGCCAAGGAAGCTGCATGTTTAAAATGTCATCTCTACAACGAGACATTCAGGTGGCTGGATGAGCCATTTTTTCTGCATTGAACTACTAAATTGACACCAAATTTCTGTCCAAAGTGAAATGGAAGGATATAAATCCATTTGTGAGTCTGAGCCATTATTCTTAAATTTTTTTTTCTGCAATTTTAACTGCTTCAGCTCACTGCATTAGTGATCATAGTAGTTGCCTATGTAACATGGGTGTTGTGATGATAGATACACAGTAACAAAGACCCACAGGAAAAATAGCACCCTGTAGTTTTATATGTGTTAACCTCTAACTTAATAAATAAACAAAGAGGTGCAGCTAGTGCTGTATTGTAAGGTTTGTAAGTATATCCTTAAATAATACAAAGGGACCATAACCTTCCTTCCTCCAGTAGTGCTCCTGCCTCTGATCTCCAAAGGGCAGTCTGTCAGCTGAGAGCTCCTGTCTGAGGCTTCTTTCTTTCTTCTGACTTTTGCCTCTGATTTTTTGAGAGTGCATGAATGATATGATGGCTAGTTTTCAAGAAACAACATTTTTAAAGGGATAAAGGGTATTATGGGTAGGTTATGTGAATAAAAATATGATAAATAGGTAAGTGGTATAAATATGATGTTGCAAAAATAACTTATTCAATTTTTTTCCCTGTCATAGACTTGCTTGCACCTTTTTATACAGTTTGACTACTAGAAAGTTGTGTTGGTTTAGAAATTAGCCATCAGTCTTATGATTTTCTAGTAGTTCCTGACATTTCCCAGCCCAGTATACAAAGCTTGGCTGCCTTCCATCTAATTAAAATGCAGAGTTATTGAAAGGATACTACCATGTCTGCTGAGATTTATGATAAATCTTAGCAAGCATTTCAGCAAGGGTTTCAGTTTCAGAAAATCCCATCTCATTATACAAAACAGGGCTGAACTATGAAAAAGTGTTTACAAAGTAAAAAGCTCTGTAGTTATTATAGTAGTTCAGGGCTGGCCCCAGGACTTTCTTGCCTCTTAGGGAAGGTTCATGGTGAGAGAATGTTGACCTGTGATATTTTAATGTTTTGTACAATAGTTGTGAGTTCTAGTTCTAATCTGTATTTTATGCAAAAAATTGTATTTGTTATCATGGGACACTTATACTTCACTAATTTTCCCCCAGGAAATGTGTGTAATCCTAGTGAAGGATATTCAAGGGTGTTAGTTTTGGAGAGGAAGTCTGTTTAGCTAATTTATGGATAAGATTTATGGACTAGCATGTTAAAATAAAATGTTATGTAAGTAAAGAAAGAGTAATGAGTAGTAAATTGCATTTTACAGCATAGCAGTTTACATGTTGAGTCAGAAGTTCTAGATACCTAAGAACATCAGCGATTGTTACCTCTCTCCCACAATGTGCCCACTGAACATAGGGCTGTTAGAAACATATTTCAAAAATGATGCATTTCGTTAATGCATTTTTTGAAATCATAGTAAATCTTGTATTATGTTTCGGTTTGTGTAAACAACTAAGTGTATATATATTTCTTTATTCAGGTAACCAGTAAAGATACATCAAAGCTCTATGATTTGCTTACTCATCAAATGGAAGTTGTATTTGTCCCCTGTATATTTAGTCCTTTTTAAAAATTTAGTAGTAAATCATTCAATCAGCACAGCAGCTCTGAGTAATTTAAGGGGCAAAACCATAGTGCTGCTTTTTATGGAATTATTTATTACAGTTTAACACAAACAAAAGTACTCCAAATACCGTGATCTGTTCTTTTAATAGGACCCTGCCTGTTTTAGTGTCAAGTTTATACCTTCTTCCATATGCTAGGCAATTCTCAGTTACATTTTAAAAAGGACATTATTTACTACAAGTTAAACATACAGCTTATTAAGTTATAACATAGTTCACAAGCAGCACAGATAACTTAAATTTGTTTCTATTCTTCTGTATTTCCTGAGCTTTATGCATAATGATAAGAGTTCTTAATAATTATAGCTGTTGCTTTTTTAAGAGTTGGTGCTTTTTAAGCCATTTTGTCTATTCCCAGCTGACTATCACAGCAGTGGCCACACTGTTATTAATGGCTGGAAGATCCACAACACAGCAAAGAACAAATGGTTTGTATGCATGGCAAAAACCCCCGAAGAGAAGCAAGAATGGCTGGAAGCTATTTTGAAAGAGCGAGAAAGAAGAAAAGGTAGGTTAATAACCTTCCTTGCTTTGCTTTGCCAGAAAGCCATACTGTATTTTTATGTTGAGATATAAAGCAAAACCAGCTGCTAGGCAAACTTGTGGTGTCAAGTTCAACTGAAGGTTTATGACTACGAGCTCAGAAAAAACAAATCAAACTTGTACTGGGAAGGGCATAATGACTTGAATCATGTATGCTGGTAACAAATGCTGTTTTGGAAAAAGTGAGATGATTTAATCTATGATTTTACGGTTTATCCTCAACCAGTTTAAATTGTCATCATTTCATTGAGTCCTGTGAACTATTATGGTTTGTGGTATATGAGGGTCTGTCCTAAATGCCTTTTGGGATTTGCATGCATCGATTCCTTTTTGTGACTGTACATCTGAATCACTGAAATGATCAGGTCTTCTACGTTGGATCTTCATGCAGATGATCCCAACACAAAATGGTACAGACTACACCTACAACCCCGTCTTTGATGTATTCTCCCCTTCCCTAGAAAGTAAGAAATCACTATTGGCAAACAACTGTCTTCTTTGAATAACTGAACTTGGATGAAATATAATCCTGATCTCAAACGTGACCATGAACCAGGGAAAGATGACACATCATCATCTTCTGGAGCTAATTTCATTTGCAAAGAGAAATATCCTGATCAGTAATGATGTTTGAAGCCTTGGTATTGAACGAAAATATGACCTTGTAGTTAGATATGGGATTCTTTTCCTGGGCTGTGTAGATTTTCTGTTGCTTGTTGCAGGAGCTGTTGTTTTGTGCCTCCATTGTAAATGGAGACTAACAAAGCTTTCTTTGGTCTTTTAAAGTTTTATACTGGATGTTTGTAGAACATCTGCCATAGAACCAGCGTTTCAACTAGGGTGTCTGAGCACTGGCTAATTAATAGTGCTGTCAGGAATTAATAGCAGAAAAAGCGAAAAAGATGCCGTAGAGGTCTAAGAACATTTTTAAAATAGCAAATGAGAAAGCAATGTGGTGGAGATGGTGCCAAATACAACAAAACCCAGGTTTGCCTGCTTCTGTACAGGGCCTTGTTTGGAACTGGCTAAAAAGTTTTTTAACAAATCCCACTTCACTGCTAAGTTTCTTGGCTCCCTGAGACTCTTGATGCCTTTAGGTAAGAAATAGAAAGAGTTAGTAGGAGTATTTTATGTTGATGTATCCTTACTATTTCACACTATACAATTGAGCAGCTGGTAGTAGAGGTGAGTTTGAGCTAACCTTGCCAAGTGTAAAGTCTGAGGTAGCCATCCCAAAGTCAAGCCATGTCTTAGGATTTTAGCATTCTACAACGCAGGGAAATTTTCAGTTCCTGATGTTCTCAGTGGGTTTGCCACCAAGGAGTCAACCATGAAAGAAAGAGGAGAGAGTTTGGTACACACTTAGACTCAGTTTGCAACACAGAGTCTTCAAAAATATTTCTTGAATGCCTCTGTTACTCTGTCAACTTATAAATTTATCCATCTCCTCCAGCACAGTGATTTTTTTTCAAAATATCTGTATAAACACCACTTGCAAAGCAGGATGCATCAACTTAATTGCAGTCAAGTTGCCAAATGACTCAGGAACCAAACAGCTATCTTTTTAGAATTCAAATACTGTATCTAAATGTAGCTATAACACTTTCCCATTCACTGTGAACATAATGATGCTTTAATTGTATGTTTACTTAATAAGACATGGAGCCTGTTCGTGTGTGTGTACATATAGGCAATTACACTGAAGTTTAAGTGACCGCACATGTGAGAAGTGTGTTTCATTTCCTTTGCAAGCCTGAGATGAACTAAATCAAATGAACACACTTCCCAGATCTCTTGGTCTAGGCGTGAGGCTCATGTGAGTGACTCCCTCCTGGTTGTGCTGTGCATGCCTGTACATTTCTTTGTAGCGGTGCTGTAGACCCCACATCTTGCACAGAATGGCAGAGCTCAGTGATCCCCAGAGTAGGTAAATACAGCATCTGGAGCAGGAGTGAGGCACGGAAATACAGCTTGAGTGTGCTCTGTAGCTGGGGTTTGCTGGGCTGTTCATGTTGGGAGACTCAGAGTGTCAGTTTGCTTAGGGAAACTCAACCTATAGATTTATTTGGAATCCATATAGAAAAAGCTGAGCAAAAGGGAGAGCATGCCCTGAAGGAAGTACTTTAGCCCTATTTCAGTGGTTGTAACTGAATTATCAACGAGGACCACTTTATAGATTGTATTTTCTTGCTAGGGGAAATCAGGCTGAACTTGAAACTTTTTGCTAGGAAGTCTTTGGCAAACAGAAAGTTAGAAATGTATTTAAAAGATTATAATCTTTAAGGCTGATGATGCTGTGATGACCTGTCTCAAACAGTCAATACAGATTCTAACCAATAAACATTCTATAAGGTCCAAAAGTAGTATATTGGTGAAGTTTTCTTTTCTTGGCAATTCTGTTTGTGTGGCATCATCACTATCTGGTTCATGAATAGTGCGAGACAATCCTGTATCTCTCCAGTACCTTTGTTAGCTTTTTATCATGAAGGTACATTTTTTCTGGCTATATTTTCAGAATTAAAGAAGTGGCAGACTATTACTCAGATTGAATATGTATAGTTATAGTTGTAAAAATGTGAAAATCTGAACAGAAACTGAGAACATGTACACAAGACATTCCAGAAGTGTGTGGGTTTGTCCAGAATTAATGATTGTTTATTGAGAAGGCACATGGGATGTGAAGGTCTGTGGTATTCCTTGGAAGCACAAGCTTCTATGAGTTGCCAATAGGATGCATAATTCAACAAAAACTGGTTTTGATCATCTGTTACTCAGAAAACATAATGATTTTCTCAAGAAGAGAAACAGGAAAAAATAAACCAGTAAGAAATAAAACCCTTGATAGCTTTGTGTTTTTGAAAAAATTGTGATGCAAATAAAAATCAGGTTGTATATATGCTTTTGTGGAAAAGGGCTGAATTAATCTTATGTGAAACTAACAAATATGTAACAGTTAAGTAGTTACTATTAATTGGAAATTTGAAAAAGTTTCCTTTAAGTGAAAACATTTTTATTAACCCATGGTAAGAGCAAAACCAAGGCCCTTTTCTTTCAAACTTGTGAAAACATGACTACTCCCTTCCAAGTGTTCATATACTGAAGTCTGAAAATCACAGCATTAGTATTTATTACTACAATATCAATGGTCATGTCGATACAGTAACAGTTTAACTTCGCTATGAGAAATTTAAAGATATCATTTGATTATAGTTTATGAAGATCATATGCTCATGGTTTAATTTTGATTGTGAGAAAAGTAATGGAAAACAGTGCCTTTACTTTTTTGTATGAAAATATTGGTATTGCTTCTCTATTTTGGGGAAGATACTGAAATAAAATGGTAATATCACTTCCTAAAATTTTAATGCATTTTTGGCAGGTTTAAAATTGGGCATGGAACAGGACACTTGGGTGATGATCTCTGAGCAAGGAGAAAGACTGTACAAAATGATGTGCAAACAAGGGAATCTCATCAAAGACAGGAAGAGGAAATTAACCACTTTCCCCAAATGCTTTCTTGGAAGGTATTATTTGGATTTTATAGCATGAATTTTAACCAGCTAAAACCACATTTTAAATCTTCTTTGGGATTCTGTGGAAACCATGCTTTATTTGTAATGTCTGTTAGGCCTATTTGCCTCCCAGAACGTAACCAAAATGTAAATTGGTCTGCCTGAAATTTATGGATGTGTAGTCGCATTCCAAAGTAGCTTTATTAAAGGGACAAGGCTGCAAAGGCATCAAAAAATAGGTTGGTTTTTTTTTGAGTAATTCCCAAGTTGTTTAATGCATTTTTCTCTCTAAAATGCCTAGCTTAGAATATCAAATTTGCTTTATTCCACGTAACAAAATCTCTGTCTCTAAAACTGTTTCTGTCCTCTTGCCTGAATGTCAGGGACAGAGTTAGTAAATAAAGTTTACATGTTTCAAAATTTAACCCTATTATCAGGAGGATCTTCATAATACAGTGACTGTTTTACACAAACACATTGTAGTGAAGATACTCACCACTGGGTTCAAAAGTGAGAATGAAACTTGGAAGACTTTCATGTGCTGTCAGAAGTCACACAGCTTATGGGATTTGAAACCAGGATTAAGATTAAAAGATTGAGTTGTGGTTGAATCATGTTCCCTCAGTGATAGTTGTTGGAAGCAGGTGAAGAATACAGTCATGGTGCAGAGCCATGTGTGAAACATTTAAACCTACCATCAAATGGCTGCTTTTCTATGCTGTCTTTGAAGTGGACCCTTTTGAAGTATGCTTTTCCTGGTTCCTGGGTCACCAGTTAAAACCCATGAATGTCAGTGTTGCACTACTTCACTACACTTGTTCTTTTGATTTGTAATGCACATGCATATCTTACGTGCTATAAATTCGATGTTTCTGAACTGCATCAGGTTTATTGTGAAATAAGCACATTTCCTGCCCATACACTATGTACTTCGTGTATATGCTGAGGATGTCCATGTGTCTGACACATCTCAGAAGTAACAGGCGTACTGTGCTATCACAATGTGATTATGTTCTGCCTTCATGGCATATCTGCCCTGGTCAGGTGCAGTAAGTATGCCTGGGATTGCCTTATATTTGGCAGTCTGGTCACATGTGGCTATTCTGCTGTAGGAAATCCCAGAAAACATGGAAATAGAATAGAATAGAGTAGAATATTTTCAGTTGGAAGGGACCTACAACGATCATCCAGTCCAACTGCCTGAGCAATTCAGGGCTGACCAAGTAAAAGCATGTTACTAAGGGTGTTGTCCAAATGCCTCTTAAAAACTGAAAAGGTTGGGGCATCAACCACCTATTTAGGAAAACTGTTCCAGTGTTTGACCATCCTCTTGGTAAATAAATGCTTCCTAATGTCCAGTCTAAACCTATCCTGGTGCAGCTTTGAACCATTCCCATATGTCCTATCACTGGATACCAGCGAGAAGAGATCTGCACCTGCCTCTCCGCTTCCCCTCCTCAAGAAGCTGTAGAGAGCAATGAGGCCATCTCTTGGCCTCCTTTTCTCCAAACAAGCCCAAAGTCCTTAGCTGCTCCTCACTGGATGTTCCTTTCAGCCCTTTCACCAGCTTTGTTGCCCTCCTCTGGACGCATTCAAGGACCTTCACATCCTTCTTAAATTGTGGTGCTCAGAACTGTGCACAGTACTCAAGGTGAGGCCGCACCAGCGCTGAACACAGCGGGATAATCACCTCTTTTGACCGGCTGGTTATGTCATGTGTGATGCACCCCAGGATGGGTTTTGTCCTCTGGGCTGCCAGGGCACACTGCTGGTTCACACTGAGCCTGCTGCCGACCAGCACCCCCAGATCCCTTTCTGCAGGGCTGCTCTCCAACCACTCCTCTCCCAGTTTATACTTGTGTCCAGTGTTACTCCATTCTAGGTGCGGGATCCAGCATTTGGACTTGTTAATTTCATGGCATTAATGATTGCCCAGTGCCTCAAGAGAATCATCAGCACCTCCCAAACTTGCTAGTGGCGCACTGTGTGCAAAAGTAAAACTTCTGAACAGAAAAGACCTCTCAAAGGAAACCATATGTATTTATGTCAAAATAATAAAAGAGTTGAAATGAATGTGTTTTGGTTTTTTTTTTAATGCGGTATGGGTTTCAGAAGATCATTATGCTTAAGATCCACTTACTAGGCTAGTAAGAAACAGTAGTAACTGAGAGGGAAATGTAGTAGATGTGGTGGTATGACATTCAAAGTTTCTTTTTTGTATCTGTTTTTAATTCAGTGAATTTGTGTCCTGGTTGTTGGAAATTGGAGAAATACACAAATCTGAAGAAGGTGTTCATCTTGGCCAAGCTTTATTAGAGAACGGCATTATCCATCATGGTAAATATAATTAGTTTTAACTTACTTGTTTTCAAGGTAATTGTTGTAATTAGAGTGGGCTTAATTTTGTTTGACAAAAAGATGGTCTTGTTAACGCAAGACAGCTTGTTGAATCTGCATTATATCCTTTCAGGGACCTCATGGGGCCATTGTCCATGCCTAGCAGATTTACTGGGAGAGGCTCCATTGATTTAATCAGATTACATCTACGCTGTTGGATCACAACATTGCAAACAGGGACCTAGAGAAACATTGCTATTCTCTTGTAAGCAAAAATAAATTCTAGGGGAACAGAAAACTGTAGGCTGCTTTTAAGGATTTAAACCTTTTATTAAGGCTAGGCTTTTTAGGGATCCGTGCTCAACTAAGAATTGTAGAAGACAGTGAGTCACAGTTGGCGATTGATAAATGTGCCTGCTCATCTGTTAGGTATTACAAGTGGAGCTGGTGGAATCCAACCTAGAACCCAACAGTTTAATCTTTTTAATTTTGAGGCCTTACTTTCACTGCATTGTATAGTTACTAAAATTGATACTTTTATGCTGAAACTTTCAGTCAACTATCTGTGTTTAGCTCATTCTGGAGAGAAATATCACTGAAATGGTTCATTTTTTGAGCCAAGGAGAAGGTTTGATTTCTGGAGGTAATTTGCATTGGCAACACTTTTCTCTTAGCAGAGCAGGTCCTCATCTCTGTCCCTTTTACAAGGTATAGTCCAACAGGACCGTATCGCGAACTGGAGAAACTTCTGGTTTTGAAGGCATGTTTGTCTTGCAATAGGTACAGTCACTTAAAAAAACCAAATAGTGAAACAGTTGTGAAGTTAGCTACTGTTCCAGCATAGATCCAGGGTGTAAATTTAGATGGAATCCTTGATAATATACATTTTAATATGTCTATACTTCAGCCAGCAGTGAATTTAATACTTACTTTTTAAGTTCTTTGCCATGATGTTTTCAGTGTCCTTGACTGGAAAGAAAGTGGGAGTAGCAGTGCCACTTAACTTTATGCATTTTAAACATACACAGAGTAGGAGGAAAAACATTAAGGTTATTCATCAGTAGTCATGTAGTCTTTAATTCTTTAACGTCAGTCTACATGATTTTCCTTCACCATCATTCAAATGTCAGATCCTATTATGTTTACTACACACACAGAATTGTTTTCAGTGGAATAATTCTGTTGCCAAAGATTCTTCTCCTGATCTTGTAATTTATATCCCAAATACAGTCATAGACTTTCTCAATACAGAGTTAAATGAATATTGTGTAATTTCATGAGATAAAAGGGTAATTATATTAGGGCATAGAAATGTGAGCCAGACATGCTACTTTGAATAGTGGATCCAGCTGTGGCTCCGTGAAAATAGAATTCTTAAAATAAAGTTGAATGAACCATCTGTTTTCGCAGAGGGACCAAGGGAGAAAGAAAGTTTGGCTGTTACATTGCAAATGTTATAGACGGCTTTGTTAGACTTTGCATATTCACTGTGCTGGCCATTGTTTTCCCTGTGCCGGGCTTCATTCTAGCAATGCAATACCCATGTTGTGATGGGCATTGCTTTACTTCCATATGTGTGAACTCTTGCAAGTAGAAAAGTTATGGGTTTTCCTTTTTTTTTTTTTTTTTTTTCTTCTTTCTCCCCAGTTTTGCAAAAAAAACCAAACTGCAACCTGTTCATATGTTGCTCTTCTAAATCCTCCTGGTGGCATTCTCTAATACCTGAAATGACTCATGTAAGCCAGTGGGCTGAGATACTTTGTCTGGTCTCTTGCTGCTGCTGCTTAGAGATGGAAGCTTCCTCTCAAGGCAGTAAAGAGCTTTGTAGTTACAAAAATAATCTGAGTATCAGATAGTTTTAAAATGAATAGGTATTTATATGGTTGTGCAGTTTCTGGCATTGGTGTACTGATCTGAGTCAAAATTACCCTGGCAAAAAAGTAAAAGTAAAGACTAGTTTAAAACTGGATCAGTTCCCTTTTCTTAGTGTGTCCCATATAAATATCTATCTCAACACAAAGTATAGGTACACTGTTGGGATTGACATACAACTTGGGCTTCCTTATTTTAGTGGTAGTGATGTGTTTTATCAGCTTTAAGTGTTTGAAAATATGGTCTTGCAAATGTACAGCTGATAATAGTTAAAATGAAAGTATACAGTAAGCTAAATGTTTTCCATGTTAGTACAGTAGCTGATAGATCATCCATCCTTCCTCTTGAGTAGAACAAACCAAATCATGTCTTTATCATAGAACCTCCCCCCCTCCCAAATGAATAGTGAATTACAGCTTCCCTCACAGCATTCACTAGATACATGTGGTACTTTACAGAATACAGTAGAGTTGGAAGTGTCCTTGTCTTCTTTCTAGAACTCAGTGTGTGCCAGCTCTGTGGACCTGCTCCCCTAGTTTCTGGTGCACTGTGTGTAAGTAGGGGCTGCAAAGACAGAGCATTGCTTGTGTTCCTCAAAGGGCAGAGCCTGCTCTGTTCATCGCAGGCATGCAGGAAAGGAAAGGTGCTTTGTAGTTCTGGTTCCCTCCCTGCGAATCTCTGTAACAGAGAGGAACCATTTGTCCTTAAACAATACTGTTGTGGTGGTGTTTTTTCTATTTTCTGTAGTTGATCGTTTTAAAAACTCTTAATGTATGCTGATCTAGTGTAATATATTTTTTCTCTAACAATAGGAAATTATTTTTAATTACAGAACTAAAAGGTATCTTTTTTTCTGAGTTAAATGGTCACAATCAAAATTAATTTCAATAGTTATAATAGGCATTGTATGTGAAAATTTTGTAGTCTATATTGGATATATTGAGAAGCAATGATCAGTAAAAGAGCTTAGGGGTTATTTTGGATAATCACCTTAGTGTGAACCATTAGTTCAAGGCAATTGGAATAGTGTCCTGGGCTTTACTGTTAGTAGATATATCAAGTACCGGTAGAGAAGTCATTTGGCTCTAACACATGACACTGGTGAAATGACTTAATATATGAAGTCCACTTTTTTATGTCCATATATCAGATGATGTGTGGAGATACTGAAGAGCTTGGAGGAGCATGAAAAACAATGCAGACAGAAGGCACCTTACTATGCAGAGTTTATGGTGCTTAACTATATTTTTGAAGAGAATAAGGGGAGATGATTTAATGACTTGGTATAGGAAGGCACGCACAGAAGAATTACCTAACACTGTCAGGCCTGTTACTCTGATTAATGAAGACATTACAGTAGCCTCCTTTATCAGTTGATGACATGCAAATTTAGTTTCAAAATTAAAGCTTACATCTGCAAGCAAAACAGTGATTAATATCAGACAGTTATCCTAGGATGCTGCTAGTGCCTAGTGCTGTCCTCAGCCATCAAATGAATCAGCTGTTTTTCAGAAAGACTTGCTGTAGTACCTTTGCAGGAGAATTTTTGTATCATATATGACTGTTTTGACAAAACACTTGAAGTTGTGAAGTTTGTTGCTGGAGTCGCATGATGATTACCTGTTAAGGTCCTTTTTCATGGGTCTCTGGGGATACGGGTTATCAACACTTTCATTATGATTGCAAGTCTCTTGCACTTAAGACCTTCAGCTGGCTAACTATAGAGAAAGACGTTCCCTCTCGCTTTCCTCCCCAGTGCAAGACTGGTTAGATATGTTGTAGAGGATCTGTGTCTTTATTGACTCATCTGACATTGGCCTCAGCAAGAATTAGAACAGAGAATAATGTGGAACAATGGTATGAATAGTTGCAAAAGAAGCTTTATTTGGCTATTTGGTTGATAAGCTTTGCAAAACCTCTGCAGACTAGAGCAAATCTGAGGGCCTGATTTTTCAGGCTGTTCCCTGCCTGTTTGTCTGTCTTATTCTTTGCCCTGTGACTTAAAGTTGTTTGGTTTCTTGTGGACTACTTAAATGTTGAGAGAAATATTGTCACCAGTGACATAAAGGAGCTTAGGGCAGATGATCTAATGGGGCTTCCCACCCTCCCTGTCTGAAATCTACCTATTGCTGTGTAATGGGCTGTTATTAGAAGAAATGACGTTAGCTTTCTTCTCTCTTGTTGATTTCTTCAGAAAGTCACCTAACAATACGTGATTGGTTTTTTTAAATTTAGTTACAGATAAGCACCAATTCAAACCTGAACACATGCTGTACAGATTCCGATATGATGATGGAACATACTACCCAAGAAATGAGATGCAGGATGTGATCTCTAAGGTACAGAATAGAATAGTTGCTATTATTAGGAAGAACACATTAGAAATTGATATTCTGCTCAAAAAATAATATAAAATACTGCGCTAGGATAAAAAATATATCCCCTCACACTTGCCCATCTCTATATTTATGTGAATCAAATTTTGGTTTCCATTTGTAAAGTAAGATTTTGGTTTGTTGTTGCACATTTTAAATACAAAATTAAATTTTTTTATTTTTAATATTTTTTGTTATTTTTAATAATTTTTGTTATTTTTTAATAATTTTTGTTATTTTTTAATAATTTTTGTTATTTAATGTTTTCATAGGCTGAATGCATTGACTGTGTTTCTGGGTGATTCTGAAGCTGGTGTTTCAGTCTATTGTATTTTTCAGTCCATTTTAATACATATGAAGCTATATACAGAAAATTAATTTTTTCTTATATCCGAGTGTCCTTTTTAGTGCCTTAACAAGGCAGTAAATCTGCAGTCATGTAGATGTTTAAATACAGATAGGTAGTGCTGTCCATCTACATTACTGAGCGTAACAAAATGATTGAACACAGTTGCCTTTAAGCTCATTAATATTCAAACTTTTCATGATTTTGAGGCTGTAGAAAATGTCAGCATTTGGGTATTACATTACAGTGTCATGCACTTTTCTGCTGGCATTTGTTAATGTAAGGTATATCTAGAAAAATCTTCAATACTGAACTACCAGGCACAGCAAAGTAGAATGGAATCTAATTTGACACAACTTCTAATTGTTATACATGGCTCTTCTTGCGTGTTATATACATAATTGTTTTTTGATAGTCTGCTAAGGAATACTAATGTGATTTATTTTTTTAAATAACATTTTTTGGTGGTGGTTTCCTAAACTCCAAATGTTTTATTTTTTGTTTTTAATTGGAAATGTTTCCGATCTTTGAATCTTCTTGCATTTTTTTTAAAGTTTATTGGTTAGTTATAATTTCAACTTGTAAGTAAAGTATCGATGCGCATAATCAAATGCATTGTTTTCTACTTTAATTGCTCACTGTGTGTGTAGAATAGCAACCAGTGATTGGGAAAACCTTAATGCATGGAAACACGGCTTTAACTTTCAGTTTTTGTGCACTTTTCTTTCAAAGTATTATACCTTCAGAATTTTTTAATAATACCTTAAAGCTTTTTGCATGTGTCTCAGTAAGCTTAGATTAGATTGAAAATGTTTTATTTCTCATTTATTTCATTTTATTAAATTATTCATTTATTCATCAGTGTTGTTATCTGAAAATAATACATTTTGGAAGATGAAAATATATAGAAATTCAAACAGGCTTTTTTTGCTATCTGAATAGTTCATTTAGAACATACAGGCTTCCTTACTGCGTCCATTCCTCTTATGTTCTCTGTAGTGTGAACGTGTGGTTAACTAACCTTATCTTCCTCTTCAACAGGGTGTACGACTGTACTGTCGCCTTCACAGTCTGTTTACCCCAGTAATTAGGTGAGTCCAATTGGGAAATCCTTCGAGACTCATTTGGAAGAAGTATGTAATCTGAAGATACTGTGTCTGAGTGTAGGAACCTAACCCATCCTTTCAAGATTGGTCTCCTGGGAGTAATCAAACAAGATTGAAGGGCTATCGAGACAGAAAGTATAACTGAATCAGTAAATGACTGCAAACTCCATTCAATATGACCTTTTTATAGACTTTTAGAACCTTCTAGGTCCCGATGGATATGCATAGGTGCTTACTGTATATATTAATGCACTGCTTTACTAACACTCCGTTACCTCATTTGGAGAGTCCCAGCTGTGACAAGACAACTGCCTTATGCTCCAGTGACATTGTCGCCCAAGTAAGATATGGTCAGCCTCTTCCTTTCTCCCTACACTGAAAGGTTTGACTTGCTTTTTTACTCCAGAGGTGACTTTTGAACCACTACAAAACGCTCAATTCATGCTTGTACTAACTTGTTTATAAAATACAAGTTTTTTTTTTCTATTAGGCTCTATTTGAGTTTTTGTTTGTTTGTTTTTTTTTTTTATTCTTTTGTTTTGAACAGGGATAAAGATTATCACTTGAGAACCTACAAATCTGTGGTCATGGCTAACAAACTCATAGACTGGTTGATTGCACAGGCAAGTGTACACCTTTGGATTTATGTACAATTTGCATTTAAATTCTAATTTGAAAGGTAGTGATGTATTAAGCAGAATAACATGCAAACACTTTGTGTAAGGGTTATTAGAACAGTGTGTGTAAGTGTAATCCTCTTAAACTAGTAAAGTAACAAATCAGCTGTCAACAGCCATGCTGCTTATCCCTTTTGTGCTTATCTTCCTTATTTGCAATTGAACTTTAAATGTTTTAATGAGACTTAGCTTTGTGATTCAGCATGTAACATTGTTCATGGCTTAAAATGAAATGGGTAAGCTCTGAAAATTCTAAATTACTAACTAGATGGAGAAAAGTCAGTACCAATTTTCTGTCATCAGTGCTGTTTTATCCTAAGTGAACTAGGAACAAGAACAGGGTATCCTGTTCACTCAGTCAACATGCACCAGTTTTATAAAATAACAGTTAAAAACATTGATACTTTTAGATTCTATTATGTTCAATTTTTATGGAGAATGTAGTGTTAGTAAAATGTCTACATATTTATTTGTAACTACAAAGAGGTATAGCATATACACGTGTATATGCTGCTTTATATGTATGCTATAAATGTATATATAAAGGTGGCAGTGGTAAATATAGTCTGTAACCATTGCTGGCCCTGTGAGCTTATCCCATTGTGCATTTTGCTGCTATATTAAAATATATTAAAAAGAATCTGCTGTGGTTTAACAGGGGGATTGCCGGACGAGGGAAGAAGCTATGATATTTGGTGTAGCTCTTTGTGATAATGGATTTATGCACCATGGTATGTAAATACATTCTGTACAAGCTATGCTTACATTTTGTTTAATGCTGTCTTCGTAGTACAAAGGAAATGCGGGGCTGGTAAAGGTATTCCAGAAGGGATGGGAAGTTGTTTCGTTGTATCACTGAAGAGACCTAAGCCACAATCATCATGAAAAAAAAATAGCTATTGTATACTCTGAAAATGATTTTCAGTCAATTTTATAGCATGCACAGAGGGCTTCATCCTCTGAAGTATTTAGGGGTGCAAGTTTTATTAGCCACTTTGAAGAAATTTTGTATGCAAGTAATACATGTTTGCACAGATGAGACAATAAAAATTGAGGAAATATGTGGGAAAGAAAGGAGGGGGTTTTGGAGGTAGGAATAAAGTATGGAGAAGCATGACTTTAAAAAAGTGAAGTGGTGACAGTAGGAGAAAGTGGACTGTAGAAAAATGAGAAAAATCATAAGGAGAGCAGAGATCAAAGAAGGGAGAGGAGAGCAGAAATATCTGCAGTACCAAAAAATGAGGTGAACAAGGTCATATGTAATGGCATCAGAGGGAAGATTTCAGTGAATGGATTGAAGCAGTGGGTCATTTACTGAAATGAAAAGAGGAAGAAATTATTTTCTCATCAACTGTTTAGAGGAGGGAGAATTAACTTCCTTACTGGCACGGTGTGTTCTTTTTCTTTTGATTTTTAGACATATAAACTGCATCCGTCTGCTGTTCTAGTTGCTTCTACAGCCCCACCAAACCCATTTCTAATATTGAACCTGGCATTCTTCACTACCTGGAGAGTGCCAGGTCTTGGTGGTGAGCAGCTGCCCAGCAGAACTTTTCAAAATCATGTTTTTTAAATCCATTTTAGGAAAAAAACTTGTGCTTGGCATTTTCACTAAAACTGTGTCAGGCTAATGCGTCTTCCTCAGCTTGGTGAAATCCAGATGTTGTAGTTGAAAATGAGCTTAGTGATACCTGTCTGTAATGGATCCAAACAAAAATTGTTGTTTATGTTAAAAATTAAGATTTCCCTAGGTTCACACACAAAAGTAGTTTGCTAGCATTTAATCACTGTACACATGTCCAGTATTATGCCTCCTAAAAGACTTGATATCCATAAGCTCAAAAGAAAAAAAAAATTAATATGTATGGGTTTGTATCATACAGTGTTAGAGAAAAGCGAATTTAAAGATGAACCACTGCTGTTCCGTTTTTATGCGGATGAAGAAATGGAAGGGTCTAATATGAAGCACAGACTCATGAAACATGATCTGAAAGTAGTGGAAAATGTCATAGCCAAGTCACTATTGGTGAGTGAAACCAAACGATTGTGTGTTTTGATGACTAAAATAATTGGTTGTAGTGACAATAAATTAGCACTGTGTATTGTTATGTAATGGGGATATACTTTAGTTCTTCTTAATGCCTTTCTGAACTATATTTTGAACAATTTTATTTTTCAGATTAAATCTAATGAAGGCAGCTATGGTTTTGGTTTAGAAGATAAAAATAAGGTGCCAATTATTAAAGTGGTGGAGAAAGGATCAAATGCTGAGGTATCAAGTATTATAAATCATCTTCCCTATGTTACTGACTTGATCACAGGTGTATGTTTTGTACATCAGTTGGGAAATTTACAGTAGTAAAAGGTAACAATGACAACTTTCCAAGAATGCTGTGGTTATGGATCTTTTCCCCTTTCTTTCTTGTTTTGTTTTGTTTAAAATAGAGCTCTGACCATTATCAACACTTTCTGCTCAGGTAAATTGTGGTATTGATGGGTGATGTAAGAGTTGTAATTTTATTTTTTATATATTTTATAAAATTCCAGTGATGACATTCATCATGATTGGAATAAACATTTTTGGTAGAATATGAAATGAGTATAAAACTGATGTATCAAGCTTTGGATAAAGTCTGGAATTTGAGAATCTGAATGAGTTACAGCCTCTTTGTTTGTTATTATTGCTTTAGATACTCTTTGGGTAAATTAATATTCTTCTACTGAACTGCATGGGAGTCTCTGTACGTAGAACAAGATAAAAAACAAGTCTCCTCCACGAGAGAAAAATTTTAGACATTAATTTCAAGCCTTTCTAAATTTCATGGTGGGATAGGAACTTAAGATAAAAATATCAAAATCAGTAATACAGTACAGCCACGGAGCTATGTCCAAGGTGATTTAGCTCTGCTAGCTTTGCATAATTCTGTATTGTCTTTTCCAGCAGTCAGGTTCTGCCACGATCTCAGATGGTGCTAAGGCTAACCTGTGCTCTGAGCTGATCTATGTACTCCCGCCATCTGAGCCAGTTACAGTTCCTTTCTCGTTTACAGTTTAAAAACTGTATGCAGTTTGGCTTGCTGTGCCTTTGGCTCAAGGGCCATGAAACTTTTAAGGATATTGTTTTGTTTTAGAGCTCAATAAATATTCACTTACTAAAATATTCATCAGGTCTTGCCTTATGAAAAGACGCTTTAGTTCCTTTGGAGAATGACGGATGGGCAAATTAGGTAACATCATAAAAAAAGTAAACTGGTTCAATGAAAGGTGTTGTGTTAATTATTACAGATATTAACTAGTATTGTAATAGTGTCATAAAACCTTGATTAAAACTAGGTCTTGTATTTAGATGTCTTCAGAATGAGAATTTACTGTACTCTTCATGTCAATTTAACCAGTTCTAGAAGCATTTTATGGTACCTTTTGTGCGTGGTATGTGAAGGAGGCATAAAGAATGTAAAGAAAACGTGCATGTTGTTATTCCTATTGAGGTTACATGCAAGCAGAAGAAAACACAATGTCAGTGGTTATGAAAGGCAAACATATATACAACTGTTATTGTTTTCTAGATGGCAGGCTTGGAAGTTGGGAAAAAAATATTTGCCATTAACGGTGACCTGGTTTTTCTGCGACCCTTCACTGAAGTGGATTGCCTCCTGAAAGCATGTTTAAACAGCAGAAAGCCCCTGCGGGTTCTTGTGAGCACTAAACCACGGGAGTAAGTTGTCATTTCTTTAGGGGAATTTTTGCGAACTACAATTGAAGTGAATTTTAAAAGACCAGTGGAACTTCAGATAGCACTACCATAAAGTTATTTATTAAATGCTGTGTCTAATCTGACTTTCAAGCAATTTGATCTGCTTTGATTTTGTTTTATTACATTTATCAGTCAGCAAAAGCAAAACACAAGTGCTTTAGATCATCAGCTCTTCCACTTCAAGTACATGCAGGAACCACAAGTGTAAATGACATTTTCTTGACTATATGGACAGTTTTGATCACTTATCTCTCACTGTGTTTATTAAACAAGTTCCTCTGGGGATTAGTTGCTGGTTTGGCACAAGTCAGACTCTGTGGTCTAGTGGGCCCCTTCAGCATGTCTGCTGGTTGTGCAAACTGCAGGAGCAAGTAAACAGCTCCTGATCTTTGAGAGATGCGTTTCCTAACACAGTTTTGACCATTCCTACCTGAGTGCAATTTTTGTTACGTAAAAGAACACAAAGTGAGGCCTAATGGCTGGGTTCACTAAGTATGTAAACAAGCATAGGTCTGTTAATAAAGTTAATACAGTTGTTACTGGTTTGTGCATCCCAAAGAAAGAGGAGAGTAAGAAACAGCAGTTAGGAGTGATTTTGATCAAATTGTGCAGGGTAAGGAGGAACCATCCTGTGTTACCAGGTAGCACACACAGAGTGCCTTGGAAATGGCTGTGCTTCAGTGGTAGAGTGGAGACTTATTTCTCCTGTTAATAAGAAAAGGTGTCTTGAGAAATACAATGGCACCCAGAAAGGGGAAAAGAGCAAAGAAAGAAATGTGGCATAAAGATGACCATCTGGAATGATACTCCAAAAAACCCCAAACCAACCAAACAAAAACAACAAAAAAATCCCCCAGACCAGTAGATCATAGTGTTGCAGCAAGCATAAAAGGCATAGTTTGGCCTCTCTTTAATGTTGATGCTATATTTATGAAAATGTTTCAAATGAAATTTATTAACCTCAAGAATATTTAATATTTAAAAAAAAAAATATAGACTTCAGTGAATTTTGGATCTCACCTCTGCTGAAAATCGTCTCCAAATGCTAAACATTATGTATACCAGAAAAAAATAAAAGTACAAGAAATGATGCAATGATATTATTCAAAACTACCTGTAAATCAAGTTTATTAGAGTCCAAATGTATTTTAAAATCACTTTTCAGCATCAATTTTCATTTGTCTGCTTTTGCACTGGCAAATGGATCTCAGGGCAAAGATCCCTTAAATAATAATGGAGCTGGCTCTGGAAGTAAAGGCTGCAAAGTTAAATCAGTGCTCTGTTATTCATGACCTAACTAGCTCTGATAAGGCCCAATGCAGCTGTGTTGCTTTTTCTGGAACCTGAGCTGAAACCACGTGGATATGCTAGCTTACTTTGGGTGAGCTCAGGGCTTCACGTTGAGTGGATGTGAATTTTGATTCTCAGAACTGTGTTTTTGTTGGTTATGTTTGTCAGTATGTTTATTACTGCTGCACTTAGACCAAGCAGGAGTGTAGCACATATGTACAAGTTATATGAACACCAGGAGGTGATTCTTGCTTTACAAAACTCAGTACTTTGCATAGCTGCTCAGAAAAACTGCAACAAAATGTTTTTTTAATAAAACTCGGTGAGTAGATGCTTTAGATGTGAACAAACTGTAATACAGATCTAGTCTCTGCAGTCTTCTGTAGCTCATCTGAGAAGGCCTGCCGTGATCTGTGGTCCCCAGGCTTTGCCCTCTTGGCTGAGAGACTGCCTGCCTTCCCAGGGCTTTCAGTGTTGCTGTGCTGTGGCAGCTTAACCAAATTGCAGTCCTTTTGGGAGGACTTGTAAAGCTATGGTGGTGCTTTGGTTGTAATCGGCATATTGAATTTCCCTGTGAACTAGTATCGCCGTCCTCTAATTGGTTTTGGTATCTCAGCTTGCTCTTACATCTGATGTCAGTGGTGCTAAGTATCTGGAATATGAATGGTGCTGAATCTGAAACAGTGAATTGAATGAAAGTGTGGAGTCTTACTCCCTTGTAACCTACTAATTGCTGTCCACTTTTATCTTGAATAACAAAATGCTACCTTTTGCTACATTCATATTGAATCTTTGCTTGTATCAGGACAGTGAAGATTCCCGACTCTGCAGATGGACTTGGATTCCAAATCCGTGGCTTTGGCCCGTCAGTTGTCCATGCTGTTGGGAGAGGTAAGCTGTAAGAGCTGTCAACAGTAGTGGTAAATATACATTTAATACCTAAATTTTG